GGCGCCTTCCCGGCAGCGGGGCCGCCTCCCGGCCGGCGCGCGGGCACGGGCGGCGCCGGGGCTCGGGAAGCGCCGGCAGCCGCGTGCGCCGTCCAGGTGCAGGGAAAGGCGCCGTTGCAGAGCGGCTTTACTGACACCACGTCCCTGTCACATCCCTAAATAATGTTTTATTTCTCTGCAGTCATTTCAAGATGAACCTGACTCTGCACTAGGTGCTGCATACCAGGTAACAGGAGGAGCCAGGGCCTGGGCAGGGAAGCTTCCAAGACAGGGAAATGAGCTGAAATTCTTGGGAAGAGCTTCATAGCTGTGAGTAAGGCAGGATGTCAGCCTGGGTCCTTACTGCAACCCTCTTTGCTGGGCACTTGACCTTCCTCTTCTTGCAGAGCGCAGCACACACAGTCCTGCTGCCCGGGCATTGGAGCGCGGAGCAGCGCGGGCTGCGCTGCTATGGGCTGTGGGGACAGGTAAGGGTGCTGACTTGCCCTGAGCACAGGACGAGGGAGTAGTTGCAGCTGTGTTTGATCTGACTGGAAGGGGGAGAAAAGGGAAATAAGGCTGAAAGGAGAAAATGCCTTAGTCTGCGCCCAGCAGGTTACCTGGTTAGTGTCCAAAAGGTTAACAACCATCGATATGTATATTGATTTTAGTTTGGAGGGCAATTTAATGCTCATAAAAGTGCTAGCTGTGAAAGTCAGTATGTGCTGTGGAGAGTTGTGAAAGCTTCACACGCATCCTCCCGGCTGCTCCTCTCGTGTTGCCAACGTTGCTGCAGCCTAGAGAAGACCCACTACCTGGAAAGGAGAAAGGACTGCGGTCCCTACAGCCGCTGAGTAGCTGGGCACAGAGCAAGGCTGCTAGTTCAGGAGTTAGGAGGGTGTTTTCTGCACGCATTTAGGGTTGCATTTTCAAGGGCATGTGTTAACATTTGGTTGCTGGAGGATTAACCCACTCTAAAACTGTTTTTGAACATTAGCTGTTCAGATGGGTAACGTGATAACAAGTTCTTCCTTAGCACCCAAGACGGCCTCTAGATCTGTTTGGGGAAACTGAGGCTCGAGGAGCCAGCCAGGCCCCGGCGGGAGGCCCCGTTGCTCCTGCTCCTCCTCGCCCGCGGGCGTGGGAACAACCGCAGCCCCACGCGCTGGCCCTGGCCCTCCTGGAGCAGGCGCTAAATTACAGACTGCGGCAAAGCGCCCGCCCGAAATAAAACTGCGTTTACTGAATGTAAATGATGTTGCTGCAAACAATTCATCCCTGAACTAAACCAGAGATGCCTGGCTGCCTTCCATCGATGGCTGCCGAAGGGACGGAAAAGTAAAAGGTCAGTAAGCAGCTACCTATAAATAAAAGTGTTAATATTGACATTAATCTTAAACTAAATTAATATCTATTGGGAACACATGAATGGGAATGACCTTTCCTCTTCATCAAGCCCAGCTGCCTGCTGCTGTGGGTAACCAGATCAAATAAACCCTTTCATAAACTGCCAGGGCTTCGTTCCTAAAGTCAGGGAGCTGCTGCATCAGCATCTTTCGGAGTCCCAGTCTTTACAGGATAAAAATATGTAAGGCACATTCAGAGTCTGTATGTGGAAAATGTATACAACTGAAATCATACAGATTGCAAGCTCTGAAGTAGAAGATGGCAGATTTATGGACTCTAATGCATTTTTAATAGGCTGCCTTGCATAAATGATGCATAGGTTAGATGACAAAAACAGTATAGAGTTGCGTGAGCAAAGAGTATGTGTGCATGTACATATATTGCTGTACCTGAGAATTTTCTAACTTTTGGCTGTTTGACTTTACATCAAGGAAAAACTTTTATTTTTTCATGCTGTTCCCTTTTGAAGGTGGATGAAAATTAGTTTTTGTTACACTTATCCTTGCGGCCTGGCATCTACAAGCTTGGAATAATGCATTAAGTAAGGTATTTAACATTTTAACTTGATGATAAGTAAGGTATTTAACTTTCGAACTACAGAACTAGTGATAACATTTTCTAGTGAGTATCTGGTGAGTTTCGCCTTGTTGGCCCGAAAGCGAAGCAGCTGTTGACGTGGGAATGGGAAAGCCCGGCTTGAAAGGCTGCGCTGTGCTGAGAACAGCCTGTCCTTCATCCAGGCCTGGGGAGGGTGCGGGCAGCCCTGTGCATCCCCGCGCCTCCCGCGTGCCGAGCACAGGGACAGGGCAGCCGGCTCACCTGCCTGAACACGAGCTCTGCCCAAACCTCTGCTCTGGGACTGCTTCTGTTCCAGCTTTCGGGCAGAGGAGCTGCCCTGCCCCTGTGAGCAGGCACCTCTACGGAATGCCCTGCAGCCCGTCAGAAGATGCAGGGCTTAGCGGTTCTGCACAAGGCTGGTGCTTCTGACAGGGAGAAATTATTTGAATTTAGGCTCATGCAAATACTATCATCAGCAGCTCTTTATTTCTCTTGATGTGGTCTTAAGTACCAAAACCTTGATATTTTTACCTCCCATAAGAACATTGGTGTTTCCTGAAATTGCAGGTTGTCCCTTTTCAGGATAGCACTGGGCAGCGTGCATTAGGGGACATACCCCTATTTTATTGATAATTCTAGCATGTAAACCGGCTCTTACATTATGATGCATCCACCCAATTCCTAGCATTTTCATGTTGGCTTTCATTTGTAAGCAACAGATTTGTCCATCTAAAGCATTTCATTTAATCTTATAGAAGATAATATATAATATATATAATAATATATAATAATAATAATGGCATTGATGTCACTTGGAATTTTAGAAAAAGCTTAAAATGAAAATAACTCATCTATTCTAGAAAGCAAAGGATAAAAGCTTTAATTACCCAACGAGAAATAAAGAAGAAAATGAAAGATGCGTTAAGATTGTGTATGGCTGCTGAGCTTCCCCCTTGCTTGTGTCCCAGGGTGTCCCCTGGCTGTGGGGGCTGCCGGGTGCTGGAAAATCTGCTGGGCCCAACCCTTCCCCAGTAAGGAAATCCCACTCTTTGTTTTTGTATTTCAAGCTTCGCTCTCAGTTCATTTATCAAATGACAATGCGGTTTCTGGATTTGTATAAAAAATGGTGGGAGATGACTCATAAACCTCCCCCTCTCTTGCTTTGTTTTAATATGGAGATACCAAATGCAAATGTGGTATTGATGGGGCTCCCACAACTTCTTAGGAGCTTCTCTAAACTCACATTAATTAATTTTTGGTGCCTTTGCAAGCGTTGCTTCAAGTAATAACATTTTAATATGTTTGCAATGCTTCCTAATTCCTGCTATCATTTACCAGAGAGACCAGCTGTGATGTGTTAATCATAAAAGTGGTGCAGTTTTTCAGTGTGGCTTTTCTCAGCTACTTTCTGCTTCTTCCATTTGTTGTTTTGGGCAGTGCCGGCGTTACAAGAGCTCAACTTCTTTCCCTGCATTAGCGGAAAATAGGCAGGTACCCAATTATGCAGCTTTTTGACATGTTGTACCTGCTGTTGTTCAAAGTCAATTGTTTATTTGCCCTCATGACGAAAGAAAAGAAGGAAAATGGTGCAGGTTTATAATTAGCTGGATTGGTTGTCAATGTAATATGCCAATGATAGATTAGACCACTGCTCTCAAATTGCAAATTTTCTTGCAACCAAAGAGAGTTCATCCTTTTTAACCATAGTGCCTGCTATCAGACAGGATGTTTGCAAGATTCATCACTTTGGGAACAGCACTTCATCATCGCGCAGGCCTTCTGAAGGATTGCCTCAACATTTCCAGGGAAGCATCCCGGAGTCCATTAGGCAAGGGCATGTGGTTGCAACGACCGCATCACGCAGCAGGTAAAGAAATCAGACAAATGGATTCAGAAACAATGTTTTTAAGCAAGTACTATCTGCCTCATAGCACCTTTTAAGATGCTATTCCAAGAAAAATAGCACATAAAAGGAACAGGAGCCTGAACTGGGAGCAGCAGGCAACGAAGTTGAAGTTGCACCAGTTGTGCATCCCAGATGTGAGCACGTCCATGGACAGAGGTGCACAGGGCTGCAGCCTCCACGGGGCAGCTGCAGCCCCAGCCTTGAGCATCCTCAAGTGCCAGGAGAGGCTGCTCTCCCTTGGGGAGCTCTAAAAGCAAAGGCAGATCGGTATCCAGCCGGTCATGATCCCGGGCTCCAAGCAATCTAAAGCAGCAGATATTCAAGTAGATAATATTATGAAAGAAAATGCCAAGGCAGATTCTCTTTTCTTTAGCAGATGCAGGAAAGACAGGCAAGACCTAAATTACGCTTATGCTTGTGAAGAAAATATAAGAGGTATTGGGAAATGATGCCTTGCTAGACAAGCAGACAAAAAGTATGACTTTCTGTTTCTGGATGCAAGTAGAATTACTCTTATGAGGGTTATATAAAAGAATCATCCTTGGATCTATTGTCCACATCTAAAGATAAGAATAATATGTGCCTCAGCTTGTAAAAATCTGGAGATTTAGAGTGGAGCCTGGTTTACGGACAGAGAAATGAAAAGAATGGCTATTTTGGACAATATCCAGCAAAATACTATCCTACCCTAAAAGTACCAGCACCACTACCAGCAGTTTTTAATGTGAAGAACAAAGGTGAACTGTGGAGCCCTTCCCCTGTTACAGGACACCCGGCAAGGGTGGTGCTAGAGGCCTGGTGAGTTTTGCTGCCTCCTTCCCATCAAGTTGATGGGGAAAAGAGCCGTGGCATCCCCTGGGAAGCGGTGACTGCAGCAGGAGACTTAGTCTGTGTGGGAACCGAGAAAGAAGAGTGGAAGAGGCAGCAAGGGAGCTCCAGAGAAATCCCTTTCGGGCTTAGAGTGTTTTGGGAAGAATGCTGTTAAAAGGAAAACTGAAGACATGAGCAAAGAAACTGCATTTCTTGTGCTTTAGCTCTCTCATTTTATATAAATAAGCAGGTTTGTGTTAAAGTAATCTTCTTCAGTTTCTCATTAGACTTTGGCCAGTGAAAAAGGTGCAACTGTGTTACATTAAATGTCTGTGTAGATCAGATTGCACGAGTCAATAGCTTCTTGGAAGCTGCCACCTGCAGTTATCAGTTGCAGCTCTCGGCACGTTGTAGCTAGAAAATTCAGACTCACAAAAGAGCATATGTGCAAATATGTATTAAACATGAATACTGCTACTGCATAGAGCTAATCTGTGGCCTCGATATCATGGAGCAGTTGCACATGGAGTTTTACTGTTAACTGTTCCTGGAAACAGAGACTGGAGATCAGAACTAAACCTCATAAGAAATTATTTCATTACAATTGCATTGCTCTTCCTGGATCTCCCGTCATTGCCCTTGTTTATAAACCTGTATGGGTAGAAGATAGTAGTTTCATCTAATTTATCTAGTGCAAACTGTTCTTAGGAAGTGCTGTGGAAAATTTTAGCTCAGCCTACTACAATTTTGTTTTCCTGACTTTACTGATAACTCACCATCTGCTCCCAAAATACCATAAGCTGTAGAGAAAGGCATGATGAGGATTGAACCTTTTGCAAAATGTGTGGATGATGAGCAGCCTGTGCCACAAAGGTGGGAGCACGCAGGGGAGCTGCCCCCGGACAGGACCGTTCCTGGCGGATCCATGGGGCCCTTCCCTGCAGGCACGAGGTCCTGCTGGGTGGCATGGAGCGGGAGTTCGGAAGCTCCTGCAGTTCCTGCAGGGGCCTTGGCCAGGAGGGGGATATTGCACCATTGCTGTAAGCTAGGAGTGCTCCCAAACAATAAATTGTACCAGGGCAGGTCTGAGCAAGGCAGTCCCTGTGGCCTCCTTTCTCTCAGAATACAGCTGTAAGGGAACATAAAATTGGGGCCAAATTATTTCATTGGTGGCAAAAGCTCAGCAATCGGCCGTGTGTCTCACAATGGTACGTTTGGTTTCTCTAAGTACAGAATTGCCGTCTTGGGAGAGGCACAAAGGCATTCCGAGCCAGCATTTGGACTTTAGCATAATATTGTTTTTTTAAACACATCTGTGATCTATTATGTTTCTGTGTAATGGTTTTCGCAGAATCATTATTACTTAATATTAAAAAAAAAAAAAGTAATTGTCATTGTCAGATTCAGCATTGCATTGCAGAGCAACACATCTGAAGGCCTGATAAGTGATCCCCCTCCTCAAGAATCTGGGGAGACAAAGCCAGAGGTTTCCGCAGAGTAACAGTTTTCTGTAGAAAATATATCACAAAAGTAACATAAAAACTGGAAAAGTGTTAAAGAAACAGCAGTATAGGTTAAAATTATATATGTACTTGACATAAAAATATTTAAGTTATTTTAGCATTTCACTGAAACAGTTGCATGCAACTCCTGTACAGTTGTAACTCCCTGGCTGTCCTATTGCACTTTGGAAACTGCAGTACAAGGCCACGAGCAAATGGCGCTTTGTCTTTCTGATATTCTAGGAGTTATTTAAAGGAAAAAAATCAAGAGACTCAATTACTTTGGTTTTAACAGTCTCTAAGATATATTTTCCGTATCCGACAAACAAAATAAAGGCTGGGCTGAGTCTGATTTTTTTTGTTATTTAATTTTACAGCTCCTAAATATGCTGTTCAGTTTTGAGATAGATAAGCTGGACACAGGTTTTGGAAGAGTCTTTATGTTTAAATGCTTCAACTCACTTTTTGAAAGGGCACAGTCATGTCAGAATCTAGGCCTGGTCTTTGGGCTCATTAAGGAGATTACAGTCAATTCTTTTCTTAATCCTTGCAGACAAGGACACAAGAACACCTGACTCCCCTGCGTATGTTTTCTGGCAGATACACAGCATCTTTGAATAAGGACAACATACTTCATAAGGATTGGTAAGTAAATTTCAGGTTTCTATTACTTATTTTGCGGTTTTCTTCTTTCAGCTCCAGAAGGTTATGCCTGGCTCTGTGTACATAAAAGTCTAAGCAGGCTGCATGTTCCTGCTGTATGTGCCCTATCGTTCCTTAAGAGGTGAAGTACTTTGAGCTGTGCTGAGGTGATGCTCCCTCCTGTTTCTAGATGTACTGTGATGCACTCTAATGATTATTTTGCACAGTATCAGATAGGAGGGAATTCCTTGCTGGAATTCTAGTCTGTAAGTAGCTTACTAGCTGTAAAGTACAGCTGCGTGGTGTTGGGTGGCTCTACCCTTGGAAGGGAATGAGAAGAATAATGATATATAGACACTGAGTTATAAGGGAAACAAATAGTTCGTGATTATTATACCATCTATCTGTGAAAGCAGCTCTGCTTTTGGATTTCCATCTAAGCAGTTAAAGCTCCCACTTCTCAGGCTCTTGGCCATCATTCCCCTAAGGCTGCAACTTTGACCTGGAGTGAGCGGATGCTTTGGTGGATTCCCTAATCAGTTTCTGGTATTATTAACCCCATTTTTTTCTTCTTAATACCATTATTCAGTTATATTAAATGTAAATTAAATTCAAATACTTTTAATTAAACTAACTGGATTCTAAGCCCACTCTGTCTTCCAGGGCTGCAGCTATGTCTCTGACCTGCCTGGATTATTATTTTAGACATTTCTACATCACTACATCACTTCTACCTTTTTTTTTTTTGTAAAGCAGAAAAGACCCTTAAATACATTTCCCAGCCCAACTTTAATGCAAGAATTATACCAGAGCTGTAACCAAATTGTCAGAGACTGGATCCAAACACTAAGTAAGTTCTTTGAGTAGGACTTTTGATAATGCTACATCCTTGATGTGTTCAGGATTTATTTTGATGATCTGACTGCATTTCAGAATTCCTCAGGTACCTTATTAAGAATATATGAGAAGTGGGAGTTAAAGCTACCAATTGAAGGCAGAGTCATAGTTTGTCAGTCCATTCCACTCCTCTCCTGATCCCAGTTGTCTGTTTTGGTTTAGTTTTCTACTTCAGTTACCCTCAAAATATTAACTCGTATGTTAAACCTTGGGCCACCCTAAAGGCACGTGTGTTCCTGGAAGGGCTGAAGTTGATCTAAACACCATAAAAATCTGAATGCAAATGCCTGTTATGAGAAGCACAGGGGTACAAAAATAAAACTGACCTGTATTGTTTGTGCAGCAGTTTTAAGATGAGCTGTTAATTTTTTTATTTAAAAAGAAAAAAGAAGGTAGGGGGAAAAAAGAGGGAAAGAGGAAAAAAAAAACTTGGTTTGAGGATAAACTCTTTCACACCCAAATTTTAACTCTAGAAAGGAGAAATATAGAGCTATTGGACTGAACAGACCTTAACTCTATGTTGGATGTTATGCTGGCTATGAGATAGATAACAGCTTACTGAATTGTTGCAAGAAGGTGTTACTGGTAAAAATAATTCCTGTAAAACCCTCAGTATCCATGGGAATAGATGCCAGTAGCTATTATTGGATCACAACCTAAAACAGCAAGAGGGCATCAGAGTAACCTTGTTTTTGCTGTTTCTTCAGTAGATCAATTGAAAGTTTTCCAGTTCATGGAAATAAAGCTTTTCCAGGGCACGCATTCCCAAGTTACCCTGTCTTTCACAGAAACCTGTCACTCTGTGAGAACAGATAAAACTGGCAGGTTTTTAAGTAGAAAGCAAATTCTATCTGTGTCACAGAATCTGAATTCTGATTTAACTAAGATAATAAGCATAGAAGTAGTGGAATCTGTGCAGATAAATGACACGTTAAGAGTAGTGACTTCCTAAGTTATTTGCTCTAATAATTGGCTCCTAGCTTTGTTTATAAATATGAAAAAAATAGCTCATAGGAGATGAGACTTTTCCCTCCTGTTCAGATATTCAACTCAGGGCAAAGTCCCAAAGCTCAATTTTGTTTGATCCGAACTTCTGTTTAATCCTAAACATGTGTTTGTGTGTAATTGCTAGTCAAAATATCAAATAAATGAATGCATAAAGCCAAAAAGAACAAAGATCATATTGGTGTTGCCCAATGAAATGAGTGCACACCCTGCAAAATCTCAGCTTAGTTCCCACCTGTGTTGGGGAGGAACTGAATCCCCAGATTTAAAGAGAGAACAGTTCCACTTTGTATAATATACTTAAATATTCATGGAGCCAGCTGGCGAGGGAAGCAAACAATGCTGCAGTCTGGTGGTTCGGGGCTCTCCTGGGGAGGGTGGGGGTGCTAGACCCAGTGAATGTTTAATTATTTATACGAAGTAGAACCGTGTCAACAGGAGGAGCGAGGAGCCCCCGCTGACTTCCCTGACAGCGGCGCGCGCGGCTGAGGAAGCAATAATGCGTTTGCCAGGGGCCTGCCAGGTGTAGTTAACAACAGTTTAAACAAACTCTTAAAATAATTTACAGATGCCTCCTGAAATAGCGAAGCTGTTGGATGAATAGGTGTTCTTCCACAGCTCTGAGACAGGCCTTGTTCCTCGTATTAAGTGAACGGACCTTTCATCCTCCAAAGCAAAACAGCTCTTAAAATAGAAATCATTCAGGGCATATTTTAAGACCTTAGCATCTCATAACCCCGTAGCTCTGTCCTTGCTGCTGTTGACATCAGGGGGAGCAAAAGCAGAGTTTATAAGTCCCACAAGCAGCTCTGTCTGTGAGAGAAGGCTGCTCTGTGAAGGTCTGTGCATGGCAGGAGCAGGTAATGCCGAGGCCTGCGGCCATGCCATGTGTTCATGGCCATGTTTTTGGAGAGCAATTGCCTCCATGTCCGGCAAGGCCGGGCTCCCAGGCAGAGCTGGGTTTTCGTTGGAACAGCCTGTAGAGATAGGGAAGGTTTCAGGCCAACAACTCAGGTCTGGAGCACGAGGAGGGAGCCTGAAGCTAAGCGCAGGCTGAGGAGAGCTGCTGTCGCTTAACCTCACGTTGTGAATCACACCGCGTGACACAGCTTTCCAGCATTTCCTTACCCTGCGTGTGAGTTAGCACTGGGGAACTCACAGAGAGCATAGGCACTCCCAAAGCAACTGTGTGATTTTTTTTTTTTCTTTCCAATATGCACATTTTGCTAAAGGCTGAACTCCAGGGAGGCATTTTGCATGTAGGTACTATGACTGACACAAAGATGCTATGTTGCTGATGGCTAATTCACATGCAGCATGAGTCCTAAGCCAAAAATAGGTATGAGATGGGAGAATCTAACAAAAAGAACATGGAAATTATGATATCTGATCGTAAAATCGAACATGCCAAGAAACATTTAGTAGGAATTTGTTATAAGAATAGGATTTATACCTGAAGAAGGTAGACACCACTGTGATAACACTCCCTCAAGCTAAGGTTCTTAAAGGATATGAAAATGTAAAAACTGAAGTATTTAGGAAGTTCAGAGGGGCTTATGCATTATTTTCTAACCAAACTTTCTAACAGAACAGGAGTTGTGGCCTTGCTGTGTTAACAGGGACATTCAGGCTGCTGTTGAGCCTTGTGCTGTAAGGCATGTATTTGATACAGAGAGGACTGTTTTATCTTATGCCACTGCCTGTATGAAACCAGACCCTGAATAGCTGCTGTAGGTGTGAAATTCCCACCGTGCTGCTCTGGAGAGGCAGCCCGTTTCTGGTTTTCTGGCTGGGATCAGAAGTCAGACCCATCCACCTGGCCTTCACAGTGATGAGGGCAACGGCACAACTAGCTAATGAGGAGGAGGACTCTGATGGTCC